ATATTATATTATATTATATTATATTATATTATATTATATTATATTATATTTATTATGTTATATATCAGCAGATACGACCTCATTGTTTCCATTTACAGATGAGGAAATAGAGGTCCAAAGAAGTCAAAGGTTTTTTTGGTGATGTTTATCAAATATTACTGATCTCCTGCTTTTGACTTGCACTGTTCTAGACACTGGAGATATAGCAGTGAACAAAACAGTCATGGAGCTCCCATTCCAGTCTTACAAGTAGTAAGTGGTAGGATTTAAATTCAAGTAGAGTTGACTTACAAAATCATTTCTTTCACTGTATCATGGTCTCCTTAGTTTCGGATTCTGCCATTTATTTGCTCTGAGCAAGTAATTTAAACTCTTTAAGCTTTAGTCTTTTTTCATCTGTTAAATGGACCCCTACCTTATAGGTTTGCCATAGAGGATGAAATGATACAATGAATGTGAATTTTTTTAAGCTGTATTACATAATATTGCCATTTGATACAGGTGCCTTGTTAGTATTTGAATGTTTATAGTGGGGCCACGCAGTTTGACAGGATTTTTTTTGTTTTTTGAGAGCTATCAGTAGTAATGTGGGACTACAGTAACTCCTTGGACCACTGTAACTAGGAATCCAGTTTCTCTATTGTAGTTCTGAGAGGAAACCCCATAGTTAACAATTTCACTGTCTAAGAAAGACATAGTTGTTTGTTTTTGAAGATAGTCATCCCACTTTTGTACGTGGTCTTCCAAAAAAATGCTACACAAGCAGTTTTAAGGCGTCTAAGTTTCAGTTAACTTTATCTTCTTTTTAACAGCCTTATTATCATTGTTCAGTGAAGGGTTGGGAATATGGTGACCTAGAACTCAGTGCTTACATGATAAATTTGTCTTCTCCACTCCCTGCCCACCCCACTCCCCCCACCCCCCAGGTCTGGAATTGGAGAATTTAATCAGGAAAAAGAAGGTGGGAATCACACAACAAATAACACATTTGGGATTGTTGAGTCCTCTCTCAGTTGAAGGACAGACAGGGCTAGAGTTTGAGAGAATCTGAAAAACTGAATCAGAATATAATTGTGTATTTGGCAATTTTTTTTAAATTGGGCTTTGGGCAACTTGTTTTCAGACATTTTACAGTCACAGTCAAGATATTCTTGGAGTTCATAGGAGATTTGAAGCAACAGATATGAAGAGGCACCTCTAAAAAAGTAGGTATACTGACAGCAAGAAGTGGTACCTGATAGGAAAGAAGGAGATGGAATAAACATTAACAACTGGTTAATGGTTAAGTATACTGGCCTGGCTTAGTATATAATTTGGTAGCATTAGAAGACATTGCATAATTGAAAGTATACTAGCATTTATTGAACCTTTCCTGTAAGCTAGGTACTGTGCTAGATGCTTTCATTTTAATTCTCATGATACTGATAGGTGACCCAGAATTTTCCAAAAGTTGTATACTCCTTGGTATTTACTCAAAGGAATTGAAAATTTAATGTCCACGCAAAGACCTGCAGATGAATGTGTATAGCAGCTTTATTAATAATTTCCAAAATTTGGAAGCAACCATGTCCTTCACTAGGTGAATGGATAAATAAGCTGGTATATCCAGGCAATGGAATATTATTCAGTTATAAAAAGAAATGAGCTATCAAGCCATGAAAAGACATGAGGAACCTTAAATGAATATTACTGTGTGATAGAGGCCAATCTGAAAAGGCACATATGTATGGTTCCAACTGTAAAAGGCAAAACTACGGAGACAGTAAAAAGATCAGTGGTTGCCAGTAGTTGAGGTAGAGTTGGGGAGATGTGAATAGGTGGAGCACAGAAGGTGTTTAAGGCAGTGAAAATACTCTGTATACTGTAATGATGGATACATGTCATTATACATTTGTCCAAACCCATAGTGAAACACACCAAGAGTGAACTGTGATGTAAGCCATGAACTTCAAGTAATGATGATGTGTCAGTGTAGCAAATGTACCTCTGGTGGGGGGGATATTGATGAGAGGCTATGAATGTGGGGCGGCAAGAGGTATATGGGGTCTATAGATCTTCCTCTCAATTTTACTATGAATCTTAAAACTGCTCTAAAACACTAAAGTCTTTACATTAAAAGTTATGTGCTCTGCTTATTAAGACTGAAGTTTATCATTTTTTAAATGTTTTTTTCCTATAAAGATTCATATATATCAAAGAAAATTATGAAGGGCGAAGTCCTAGAGTGCATTTCCTAAATGCTCCTTTCAGAGATAAGCATTGTCAAAAAATTAGTACATAGTTTTTTTTTCTATACTACACTAAATTTAAAAAAAAGAAGTAGCAAGCAGCTTTTTCACTTAGTAGTGGTTTGGATATCTTCTTATATCAAAAGACATAGATGTGCATTTTTAATTGGTTTTGCATAAACTGATTAAAATATTGGTTCCTAAAAAGCTTACTTGCTTTGGGCACCTGGGTGGCTCAGTTGGTTAAGCGACTGCCTTCGGCTCAGGTCATGATCCTGGAGTCCCGGGATCGAGCCCCACATCGGGCTCCCTGCTCGGCGGGGAGTCTGCTTCTCCCTCTGACCCTCTTCCCTCTCATGCTCTCTATCTCATTCTCTCTCTCTCAAATAAATAAATGAAATATTAAAAAAAAAAAAAAAGCTTACTTGCTTTTTCTGAGGCTGGAGAAAGTTATTCCTTTTGCTAGCCTTATATGAATTTTTCCCTTTGAAAATTAAAAAAAAAAAACTGATTTTTTTTCCAAATAATCTCTGACCTGGGTGCCTGGGTGGCTCAGTTAGTTAAGCATCTGCCATCGGCTCAGGTCAGGATCTCAGGGTCCTGGAATGAGCTCCAAGTCTAGCTCCCTCCTCAGCGGGGAGTCTGCTTCCCCCCTTCTGCACCTCCCCTCAGTGTGTTCAGTCTCTTTCTCTCTCTCTCTCTCTCAAATAAATAATCGTTTAAAAAAATAATCTCTGAC